CGAAACACAAATTGCAGTTGTTCCCTTGGAATGTGCAAGCGGATCAATATGTACGGAGCCTTACTAACACAGTTGTCATATTAAGTTCTTGAATACTCCGTTCAAGATGCAGTAGGTTTATAAATTATGAGGTCTTCACATATTTCTCCAAGCCAACTGCTAACAAATGAGACAATAAAATCCTGGTATAGTCTCTTCTTAATGCTCTAAACTGCTTCATTGGGGCTGCAAACACTTCAAATTGAAGTTTGGATAGAAAGAACCTTATAAAGGCAGACATCTAGAGTTCACTTGTGGAATATGCTACTCTAAGGTGTTCACTTTTATAAGAATTTATTATTGGGTAGTTTGGTCTTCTGGAAGTACCTTGTAGGAATACTAGAAATTTATCATGTTTTTATCCTACCCTTCTCCCACAAAGCTTAGGCTCATTTTCAGTCTGTGCCTTAGGACCTTTTTGAAAAACCATCAGCTGTTGCATCAAATAATACATGCTGGTCAGGAGCTGGTCAACAGTTGCTTATGGAAGGTGGAGATTACCCTCAGGTGACCAAGCAGGGAATCTTCCCCTTCTAGTTTGGTGAAGAATATATATTGATACGGCAACAAAAATGGGGATGTGTGGGCAGATGAGGAGATACCTTAGTTTGTTTTTGCACTTTTCTGTAGAATTATTTCCAAACAATTGCATTATGGAATATTCTTAATTCTGTTCCTCCTGAAACTCAAATACCTGTTTTAATTTAAACATAAGCTGCTGCTATTCACTTCGGTAGAACACTTGAGCTGGCCAACTCCGTTGTAATGCCAGTTACAAGTGCAACAGACTCAAACTACTGTATTTTTCACTCTATAAGACGCACCTGACCATAAGACGCACCTAGTTTTTAGAGGAGGGATCCATGGAAAGCTTCCTGATAATCACAGGCACATTCCCCATCACTTCCCCATGGGCTTCATTAAAAGACGGGTTGCCATTTGAAAACACCAACCTGTGATTAACATTTCTCACCTGCGCCGGAGGAGGGGGGCAGAGCAGGGCGTGCCGACCAGGTGTGGTGCAGCTGGGCCGGCAGTGTGCCGGCAGTGGTCTTCAGGCGGCGCGGCGGCAGGTCTTCCCAGGCAGTGGGGGTGAGCAGTCTGTCTCTCCGTGCAGCCGGCGGGTTAAAGCCTGCGGCGGCTCCTCCTCCGCACCGCTCCCCCTGAGCAGCACAGCTCTCACCTGTGCTGGGGGCGGGCGGCGGAGCAGGGCACGCCGAGCACATGCCGGCCAGGTGGTGCCACGTGGTGCAGCCAGGCCGGCAGCGTGCCAGCGGTGGTCTTCCAGGCGGCGCGGCGGCAGCAGGTCTTCCTGGGCGGTGGGGGTGAGCAGTCCATCTCTCCGTGCAGCCGGCGGGTTAAAGCCCGCGGCTCCTGCTCCACCCCTCTCCCCCTGAGCGGCACAGCTCTCACCTGTGCTGGAGGGGGGGTGGAGCAGCGCGCGCTGAGTGCATGCTGGCCAGGTGGTGCCACATGGTGCAGGCGGCTGGCAGCGTCCCGGGCGTCGGGCACACACACATTCGCTCTATAAGACGCACAGACATTTCCCCTTACTTTTGAGGGGGGGAAGTGCATCTTATAGAGCGAAAAATGCAGTATTTTGTAGCAGGGTTGACAAGCACAGATGGGCCTGCTAGGAGCATTGCAGACCCAAGCTGACTGGGAGCTGGTGCTGGGGAAGTAATAGCCAGCGGCAATTGGCAGCAGGAGTGGTGAAGTGCTTGAGTGGGGATGCACAACCCAGAAGCTCCACATAAGTTCCCTGAGCCTCCTGCTGTACATTCCTCTCCCACTAGTTTCCAGCAGTCCTGACCAAGATCTGTTTTGCCCCACCATGGCTAGGAAAGAATGATCTGGATCACTTCTGTGCATGCATCTGGGCTGGCTCTAGGTTTTCAGTGGGCTCTCTCCTTCAGCAAGTCTTTCTTCTCGTTGCCATTGTCTCTGGCTTCTATGGCTTGGCCTTTTCTTTCCCATCATGGCTGCTGAATAGACAGTACTATCAAGTGCTGCTGCTTCTCACCAATACCAGACCAACAGGCTGGTGAACAATAAGGTTGCCATGGTGAACAGGAGGGACAACTCCAAGGGGGTTCTTGTCAGTGGGCCCCTCTGGGGTTTGGATCCTCAGCAGGCACCCAGCCATGCCTACTCTTGATGCTGGTTCTGGTATCTGTACAGTGGAATCCAATCTAGCATTGCGTTCAGTCCTTAGGTTACAAAGGCTGTGCATTCCTGCTTTAGAGTTTTGGATGAGGACTTGCTCCGGATTCCCAGACTAGACCCCAAGATGAGCTGGGACAGCCACTGGCTTCTGGCTCAGCCTATTTCACAGGGTAGTTCATAGGGTAAAATGGGAGAAGGAGCCTATATGCCTTCCTGAGCTCCCTAAAAGAAGTGTGAGATAAAAGTGCAAGTCTTCCAACACGTATCTGCATGCTGTGTTCTTTTTATGCTCTTGGAAGAATTGGGTATCAGTTGGGGAGCTCGTCTCATGGAAACAATTGCTAAATTTCTTCAGCAATTCATAAGAGAGCCCAAGTCTTTTTCGTTTTGTAGATGGAGAATTATGATGCTGAAGTGTAGTGCTTGACTCATCAAGGTTGAAAAAAACTGCTGCTACACACTGATGTATTTATGGCTCAGTTCTGTGCATGTTGAGATGGAAAAGAATCCTGCAGCTCCCTGAATGACTAGTGAATGCTGGGAGTTGGCTCTTTTTTTCTTTTTCTTTTTTGCTTAATCTTGCTCAGGATTGCGCTATTAAGTTCCTGTTTTGGCTTACGTAACCTGTGACTGCAAAGGAAGGTATTTTTACAGAGATCTAAGGGTATATTGTGAGAATAAATACTATGGTTTTATATTTCATACTATATTTTTCATGGGGATCATATAGTATCATGGGGCCAGCATTTATACCTGGGGCAAGCTGTTTTATAGTCTTAAAGTGATCTTAAACAATTTTAAAAGACTTGAAACAGAACGTAGTTACTAGATAATTAGCCCCTAACATCTCAAAGCCCCCTTTCTCTTTTGCAAATTCCCACAAGTAATTTCCAAAATTCCTTGGAAATTTTGACTTTCAATGGTGGAGTACAAAGTTGATCTGAAACTCTGCTTAAATGCTGGGTGAGATTTATTCCACAATTTGAAAGTGACCTCATCTAGTTCACATTTCTGAACACTGGAAATTAACTAAGGTAAAAATACATTGCAAGCATTCTTGCACCAAACCTGCGCTGAATCTACATTTTATTCTCAAGTTATCTGGAAAGTCTCAGCACTATATATTCAGTGTTCCAGATTTTTCAAATAACATGCATAAAATTCCATGTTAAAGGATCGTAGGGGGGTTATATAGCAATCAGTCGGGGCATTCACTGTGGCTTAAATCTTAGAGAAAAATAAACAGCACTTTTTTAAAACTGTCCCAGTGGCCTCCTTCCTTTTCCTGCACAGGTGATAAAAGACAAGGGTGCAAAAAAGGAAGAAAAAACGAGCATCAGCAGCAGATGTCCTGTTCCTAATCTAGCTACATTTGCTCTTCCCTGACACCAACTCTTGCAGAGAGCTCCGTTATGTTGCCTCATCAGTCACTCACTGCTTTGGAAGTGAGGCTGACCAGTGTGTCTGCATTACGCATTAATGTGTGAGGGCCCTGAGACAGCCAGGCGATCTCTGGCAGGGCAGAGGTGTACACGGCGCCGTTAGTTCATCTAGTGTCATACCACAAATAGATGCCAAGGGTCATCTTTCAGTCACAGTGCACCTTTGCTGGACCCCGGCTTCTGTGGATCTGATGAAGTAGGCTGTTGCCTAGGAAAGCTCTTGCTCAGAGGTACAACACTTTGTCCAGGTGTTGTGCTTTGTAAGGATGCCCACCTCCGTTTTTTGTGCTCTTTCCAGTTCCAAGAAAAGTAGAATCCCTGCATTACACAACCTGGAACTGCTCTTATGTCTGCTACCATTTTTGGGAATAGCCAGTCCCTTTGCCTCATCTTCCTCCTGCCCTGCCTTACTCACGTTTTACTATCTCCTTACTAGATCTGGGAGGAATAGTGGTTCGCCCATTCCAAGGATTGTCTCTGTTGCGGGGAACCTTGCAACAGAATGCTGGCCTGTTAATGCTTGTTGGCCTCCCTTCCTGTAAATGATGGCCTCATAAATACCTTGCAGCAGTTTTGCTCACTAATTTGAGTAGGGTTGAGAGATTTGCACTCTGTGTTCCTTTCCAATAAGAGCACCTTGTTTCTTGTTTCTTTTGCCTCCAATGGATAATGCAGTCAGTCCACTGGGACAGCAGTCACGTGTTTCAGTGGACTGTCTACGTGACTGCATGTGGCCCTAAATCAGTATGTTCTGATTTGGGTGACTTTGAGCCAGTCACTCACTCTCAGCCTAAACCTACCGCACAGGGTTGCTCTTGTGAGGATAAAAAGGAGTGGAGGAGTTACCTTGGGTTCCTTGCAAGAGAGGGAAAAGCTTACACTGCATTTGTATCCCTCCACACCCCCAATGAGAATGGATAGGGAAGGGGTCTATTAAGCTAGCACAGGTCTTAGTGCTGTACTGTCTCGAGCAGGAGGTCTGTGCATCAGCAGCAGGAATGAGATTCTGTTTGCTTCTCTTTAGGACTGGCATGGTATGCAGATGGGCTGACTCTACACATTTGATCATGTTGTATTCTTCACTCTAAATCTGCACTGTTTGCTGCTTCCAATAGTTCACTGTGTGACCTTTTTTTTCAGGGGGTGGGGCCCCTTGCTGCTCCAAACCTGGCCAGTTTCAGGACCAAATTAAACAGACTAAGTTCCTGAGAGGCAGTGGATAGGCACGTTGTTTCTTAAAACGTGTGCTCCTGCAAAGACAGACAGACAGACGGACTGAATGACAGAAAGAACGAACGAACTTCCAGCCAATGGGGGGGAAACTGATTTGTCCTTCTTTTGTTTTGTCTCTAGTGGTCATGAATTCTTAGTAGATTTGAATACTTTGACATTTTATGATACAACGGAATTTGACCAGTTGAGGAGACTGTCCACACCCGTGTGTACGAATGCCAACTCCAACTACTACACGGTCTGGAAATACTTCTGCAGGGATCACTTTGGCTGGAGAGAATACTCGGAGGTAATTTGCCCGCTGCGGGGGAATGTTGTCTGGGGAGCAGGGTTGGGGAGTGCTTTAGAGACCAGAAACTTCCATAATGCATGAGAACTGAACATAGGCTCAACTGTGGCCTTCTGCCTGCTGCAGCACCTATTCTGTGCACAGGTTCACTCCCTGGCATCTGAAGGTGCAGCTGGAAGGGAATCCTGCCTGAAACTGGCCAGCCACTGTCAGCAACACTCGGCGAGAGAGACCAGAGGTCAGGCTCAGGATAAAACAGCTCCCAATCCTCCTTGATCATACGAAAGTGCCTATATTTGCTACTGTATATTTAGAAGCTTTTTAGACTAATTTGGTAATTTGGGCTTAGTCTAAAAATGTCACACGGCCATATCTTGCTACAGGCAGCAAGCACCTCTCCTCTGTACCCATCTTGCTTCCCTCTCTGTTTTTCTTTATCTCTTGGACTTCTCTGCTCCCTTATTCCCCTGGGTCACTCCCCTATCCCGCTTCTCTTAGCCTGATAACCTTTTCAGACCTCTTCCACCTCCTTTCTTAGATCTTTGCTGCTTCTATCACTTATTTCCTAGTCCCTTTGACCTGCCGTTCTGTCAAGTCAGGGTAGCTTAGCCAATCATTGCCAGAGGCTTCATCACAGAATCCACTACACTGCAGATAGTGGGCGAAGGGATCATAGCAAAATTCTTGACGTATTCAGAGAAAGAAGCCCTTGAGCTACTGCTCATTGGTCCTCTGAAAAACACAGACCGGGGCCAAGCAATTTGTTTTTGTGAAGGATAGATATGTGCGTGTATTCTCTTTGGCAGTCATAAAAAAGCCGTCAGCTTCATAATTTAATTGGGCTTTGGTTTTCCAGGCCAACATTCATATCTGAGGGAACTACAAATGATAATGTTGAAGCATTAAAGTAATGATATCTATCTGAGATAGTATCAGTGTTTAGATCAGCAGTTTTTTCTGTATGGGATTTCTGCTTTAAAAACATTTCAGAACAAAATAGCGTAAGAGCAGCTATGCTGGATCAGATGCAGGGTCTGTCTCCAGCCGCCCATGGGAAATCCACAAGCAGTACACAAATGCAAGAGTGCCATCCAGTTCCCAGCAGCCATGGATAGCCTTCTCCTCCAGGAATTTGTCCACTCCCCTTTTAAAGCCATCCAGAATCAGTGGCCATCTCTCCATTGTGTAGGAGTGAATTCTGCCATTTGCACTGTGTAAAGGAGTACTTCCTGTTAGCTGTCCAGAATCTCCCACCAGTCAGCTTCATGGATAATCCCAAGTTCATGCCTCCCCTTACTTACCTTTTTTCGAAGCTAAACAATCCCAGATAAGAATATTTGCATTGGTCAAACAGATTTTTCTTGCTTTCAAAACAGCCTGTTGTACGATTGATAGAAGAAGCCAACTGTCGAGGGCTGGCAGAAGTTCGGTTTGTTACATGGCACAATCGTTACATCTTGAACATTAAAGATGGCTTCCAGCAGAATGCATGTGTTCGAAGAGAGATAAAGAAAAGGCCGCTCTTCCGCTCCTGTGTGATCCTCATGCCCTTCTTGCAGTAAGTTAACAGGACGTTCAGTTCGTGGGGCGGGGGGGTTGTAAGCAGTGGGCTTGGGCTGGGGCAACAGATGTGGCAGCCCCGTCCCTGTTCTTTGTGCTCAAGTGCTGAGTTCATAAAATTCATTCCTGTCACTTCAGTGCTTATTGGGAGTTCCTGGCTGATCCATATGTTGATGAGTTGCTTGTTTATATGAACATTTTGTATTCCTCCCTTCTGGTGCGGATACATCACTCAGGGCAACCAGCAACAATTAAAACAATCCTGAATTGATTACTGTTCTTGTTCCTAATTAGGGTGTTCTGCTTTTTTGGTTTAGCAGATCGAAATGTTTTTCAGTTTTGTATTGTACACCTCCCTGAGAGTCTTTGACTAGAAAGCATGCAGAAATACTTGTAATAGCAGCAGCACCATAAAATTACTCCAACTCTCTAGGGGGAAAAATGTAATCAAATAAGATGGATGCTGTAGAATGGCTTTTGGATTCGGTGGGCTACATACGTTCTGCACTTGCAGCTATTGAATTCTCCTTCAAAAGTTTAAGTTAGGAGCACAGAGCCTAAGGCTGGGGTTAAATCCAGCCCTTCCAGGGCCCAGTCTAAACCTCACAAATTCTCCAAAATGTTGTGCCTCCTTCCCTTGCCCTCCCCCTTTCTCAAACCCCCGGATAATTCAGGGGATTCCTGGTGTTGAACAGATTTTTTCTCCTTCCAAAAGGTTGTAAGAGAAACCTTTGAGCCCTGAATGGCATACAGGGAACAATAACTGCTGTAAATAAGCTCTAAAGTTTACTTCTGATGCCATATTGAGCCCTTCTCTTTTTGAATTTCCCCGAACATTAGGACTCTTGGTGGCAACCCCACAGTTCCAACGACTGAGGCCATTCCCTCACAAGTCTTATCCCCAACAGTGGTTACCTCTCCAAACTTCTATCCTGAAACGTGGATTAGCATGGATCCAGTTCAGGACTTCATTCAAGTGCCTGTTTCAAAGGAAGACAAAAGCTACAGAACCATTTATAATCTTTTCCATAAGACTGTGCCAGAGACCAAATACAGAATTTTGAAAATACTGCGAGTTCAAAACCAGTTTTTGTGGGAGAAATACAAGAGGTGAGCCACCGTTTTATGAGTGCACTTGTCTTACTAATTGGGTGACTTCCTGCTTTTGAGGGGGCGTGCAGCATGATGGGGGCCAAATGTGAAATGCTGATTTATTACGAATGCCATGGAGTGTGCCTCCCCAAGCTTACTGACTTAAGAGTGAGCCCGTTTCACCAAATGATACACCCAACGCACAAAATCTACTTGAAGAAGCTTAAGCCAGGTCTTGTCATGGGATATACCAGCATTAGCCAGAATATTTTCTCAAACAGGATTGGACACACTGTGGCTAAGGCGACTGTAAGGTGGCCCTTGGCAAGCATGCTCTGCATCTTCTATAGAATATTGCTGGGTGGGAAGGAGAAGGTGAGAAAGGGTAGCCCGACTTACTTGGGGCTTGGGCCCAATTCGTCCAGCTCTCACCCAGTTGCCCCCAGTGGGAATCAGACCACAGCAGAACAAAAGATGGGCATCACTGTGCTTCTTCCAGATTAACAGTAGCTGTAAGTGTGCTTCGTGCCTGAGGCCAAGTGAGGTGGTGTGTTGTTAACCTGGTGGTACTTTTCGATACTCCAGTCCCCAGCCTTCAGTCTGAAATGGTACCTCCAGCAACGGGGGCCAAGTGCCTGCCCTTGTGCTGAGCTCTCCATCTCACTTTAGGACCCTTCAGAGTGGATACAGGGTATATTTTCAGGGCTTTACTGTTCAGTGGTACAGAGAAGTAATCCGATTAAGAAAGAGGAATTTTGCAATGTTGTTGCTTCATCCGAATAGTACCATCAGCACTTCCTTCAGGCATTACACCTCTACCCAGAGCAAAGATGAGATTTTGGAGGCTGGGTCTGGCATCGGTCTGGATATGTTGGGCTTCAACCACTGAGGTCTGGGCTAATGTCTTTAATAAGTTTTTCCCTCACTTCCAGAAAAAAGGAATATATGTCTAAGAAAATGACAGGACTTGACCGGATCATGAACGAAAGACACTTGTTTCACGGGACCTCGGAAGATGTTGTGGACGGCATCTGCAAGCACAACTTTGACCCTCGGGTGTGTGGGAAGCATGCCACCATGTTTGGGCAAGGCAGTTACTTCGCTCGCAAAGCCAGCTACTCTCACAACTTCTCCAAGCGCTCGCCCAAAGGGGTCCACTACATGTTCCTGGCGAAAGTGCTGACAGGCAGGTACACAGTGGGCAATCACAGTATGCGGAGACCTCCCCCTGTGAACCCCGCCAGTATCACCAGTGACCTGTACGACTCCTGCGTGGACAACTTCTTTGAGCCTCAGATCTTTGTAATTTTTAACGATGACCAGAGCTATCCCTATTTTGTTATCCAGTATGAAGAAGTTAGCAACACTGTCTTGATCTGAAAGATAGATTTCGTGTTGATAAGTTATTGTTTGTAACCAACTTTAATCTGATATTTGTAGAATGGACCCTGTTGTCAGGGAGAGGAACAACAATTGTGGAACTTTTAATAAAGATATGGGGGGTTTAGGGTGGGAAAATAAAACATTTTTAAACTCCCAAAAAGACCAATTGTGCATTTGCTATTTTTTGTGCAAACTGTACATATTTTTCCATTGTTTAATAGTTCAGAGAGGGTGGGGGGAGAAACTGTGCCTTTTGTTATAAACACTATTTATGTTAGTAAACGTAATGTTTTAAACAATCTTAACTATGTGATCTGATGTTGTTGTGAACATTTGTAGTCTGGCTTGCCAGTATAGTTTTCAATTCTAGAGTCGCCAACTTCTTGCCAGCCTTTGCTCCTGTATTTTGAGCAGCTGTTTGACTTATTGGCCCTTGACTCCTTGTCATGGAAAACTCTGCCTGGGGATTTTAGATGCAAGCGCAAGAGCAGGCCAGTTCTGGGCAGTTGGCAGTCAGAGGCAGATTCTAGTACTTTGGCAGAAGGACTTCCTTGCTATGAGCTCATCCCATTATCTGGCTCCCTGCAGTTGGGCTCCAAGCTAATGCTCTTTTCTCTTCAAATTCTGAGATTTGAATAGTCAGCAAAATGTAGAACGGACAGTTGGACAACTGTGTTTGTAACTCTGGAATCCAATTGCAAATACAGCATTAGACAAACACAGCAGTTTTGAACTTGTAAATGAGTGCTTGCCAACACGTCCTGGACATTTTTGGGGTTCTTAACATACATTAGTCAGCCGTTTTCAGTGCCTCTTTTTCTTAAATTTAAACAATTTAAGGAAGTATGTGCTGGTGTGTTTAAATGGTAAAAGTATTCAAAGGGGCATCCATGGGATATTTCAGAGTTCCCCTTCTGAGGTTTCCCTATGTGCCACTGCTTTGAGCATCAGGCCTGGCCTAGCAAGGCCATCCTCGTCAAGAGGGAGGAGGCGGCCCCGGTCAAGGACCTTGGGCATCGTGCGTGGCGTGCCCTCCTAGGGTTGCCAGAGGTGGCAGTGCTTTTCCCAGAGTCATGATGAGTTTGAAGGCAGAGTACCAGTGCAAGCTCAACCCACTTGCGTGAAGTGGAGAATGAGGGCCCTCACGGGCAGCATGAGGTAGAACATTCAGCCCATTGACTACTACGAGCTGATTTGGGCCATGAAGCGTCATGTGGAGGAGTGCCTCCACCACAGCATCACCCATATTTGGTCCATGGCCTTCCTCCCATGCAGCAGCAACCTCACCTCGATTAGACCTCTGACCTTGGGTGACGATGCAAATGAGGACAGGCTGGAGATGGACGGTGCCGAGGACTGCAGCAGCCTGCAGCCTGCCAGATCCAACAGATCCACCTTCTGCCTAGTTCGCGGCATGTTAAATATTTGGAGCACGGTGCCTCTCTGGAAAGCACAGGGTTGTACTGATTTCCCCCATCCAAAATTTAAGCCAGTTGTGATAAAATGGGACGAAAATAAGCCTGGGGATTTTTAGCTTTGTTTACTAAATAAGAGTAGAACAAGCATGCTGAGTTAGATCACTCGGGAGTCTAAGGAACAGAACATTTTCTGATGCAAAGTGCGAATGTTCTGATGCAAATGATGCCAATTTGCTTAGGAAAACTGTCTGGAAAACTTCCCAATTCAGTATTTTATCTAATTGGAAACTTATCAGCAGCCACAATACAGTCATACCCAGAGTCTGAGCTAAGAACATAGAAACTCATTGCAATGTGGCAGGTGCAGTTAAAGGAATAGGGTGGGAAGGGAAGAGAGAAGGGACTAGTTCCCACAATGCTCCAAGGTTTCCCTCCTGTCTGCTGCCACCTTTCCTCTTAAGGACTGAATATAGCTTTGGGTTCGCATGAATGAAAGAGATGATGACTGAGAGCCAGAGGCAAGAAAATCACATGCTGGGAGAAAAGAATGAGATCTATTTACACTGCTGCTTTTTTTCTTCCCCTCAAGTTCCCCCAAGCTGTTAAGTGGCAGCATGCAAAAGCAGACGCTGGAGTCAAAAAGTCCAATTTCAGCCTAGATGAGTGGCATCATGAGAGTTGCTGATGAGAAAAGGATCTAGCAATGAGGAAGTCTATGCATGTCCTGCTTGCATGAGACGTTTTCCTTTTTTCTGATGTCTGTCCACCCATTGAAGGGAGCATGTACACTTAGTGCTTCTTCACAGGGTCCTTAACTGTGATATAATTTCAAAATGGCCTTGAGTCAAGCTCTCCATCTGAGCTTGCATGTGGGCCACATTAGCTGTTCCTGTCACATGCATGGGATGCACCCTAGAAGCGCCAGCATCCCAAGACACACTGCAGTCCCATATTATCCAGAGCCGATGTAGGGACTGCACTCCTGGCAGGTCACTTTAGGATAGGAAAAATGGGAGCTATTAGCCAATGCATCTAGAGAGTGCCCACTGAAGAACCTAAGAGCACAAGAAAAGCTGTGCTGGATCAGACCGAAGGTCTACCTAGGACAGCTCCAGGCTCGCTCAAGCAGGATGGGTGCAAGACCTCCACCTGCCCAATCCCCTCAGCAACTGGCGTATGCAGGCATGCTGCCTCTGGTGAAGGAGGACGCATACAGCTGATAGGCTAGTAGCCACTGAGAGCCTCTTCCCTCATGAATCCGTCCAATCCCTTTTTAAAGCCATCCGGATTGGTGGCCATCCCCACCTCCAGTGACAGCAAGTTCCTTAGTTCAACTAAACATTGTGTGAAGAAGTATTTCCTCTTGTCTGTCCGAAAGCTTCTGCCAACCAGCTTCATGGGATGACCCCAAGTTGCAGTGTAATGACAGAGGGAGAAAAATCTCTCCCTCTCCATTTTCTCCACTCCATGCATCATTTTAACACCTCTTTCATGTCCCCTCACCTTTTTATTAAGCTTGCACTTGAGAAGGCTTTACATATATTCTTTGCAGCCTGCTTCCTAACTGTTGCATGTGAAGCCTACAAAGTGACTGTGCAAACTGAATAGTCTTCCAGCTTGAAAACCTATGATGAAAAGTGATGATCCAACAGTATCCTTGCCGGATCCTTCATGCAAGCCCATCCATACATCTTCCACCTCTTCAGAATGAAAGGGGGGATTTCCAATCTAGCTTAAGCTCTGCCTTCCGTTAACTGAGCTTGCAGGGCACTGGAAATAGAAGTGCTTCATTTTCCAGTTGCAAGATGACGTTAAACATTCATAAAGTGAGAACCATTAAATGGCTGTTCACTGCCTTCTGTTCTCCCTACCAAAATGTTTTCTCGGGCCATTATTCCTTCTGTATGGACGCTAAGGCTGTCGTTTTGTGAAGGAAAAAGAAACAGCTTGCACAGCTCTCAGCATTGTGGAACCTATTATCTCCTGCCTGTGTAATGTGTTTCCAACTGTGCATTAATTAGCAGCACGATACAATGCAGTTTTACCACTTCGTGCACCAATCTCATTTCAGCAATGCAGGTGTAAAAGGAAAGTTATGCAACGATACTGTACAAGAAGGGTTTCCTCTAACTCTGCAGTAGGTGCCTAACTGCTGTTTTGGACTACTATTTCCATAACTTTGTCCATCTCAATGCTTGCTGGGGCCGATGGGAGTCATCCAAAAGAACTGGAGGACACCAGTTCACCTGCCTCTGCCCCAAAGTAAAGGTAACCTTACCAAAGAGGCCATTTGGTTTGCAGGCCTGAAGATGATCTGTACACAGATTTTTTTAACCCTGGTTGAAGTCTGCAGGATTTCCACTCCAGTGGTTGATACCCTCAGTTGTGGGCCCTGGACAAGGAGCCACAGTCTCATTCTTGGCTGTTTTCCCACCCACAATCATGGATAGAGGGATCCGCAAGCACTTCCACCTCCTAGAACCATGAGTCAACTTGGCCTTGTGTGACCTCCAGATAAAGACGGAAGGAATGAGTGGCAAAGTGCACCTGGCTTGCAAATTCACCATGAAACATTCAGGCAGGCGGTTTTCTCCCTGCTCCTGCTTTCCCAGTCAATGCTGGCCTATCTGGTAGCTTTGTTGAAAGAATTGCTAGAAGGTACCCAAAGCCCTTGCAAAAAAATCTCAGGGACAGCATTGCTGTCCTGCAGTATCTTCAGCCTTTTCAGGCCTGGGATCATTTTGTGCTTAAGAACAAATGGCCATGCTGGTTGGGGATGATGGAAGTCCAATCTGGAGGGGACCAGGCAGGGGAAGTCTGTTTTAAAGGCAGGCTGAATGAGTACATCCTAAGGCAAGACTCACTGAAGAAGATAATAAAGAGCCAGTGGGGTGTAGTGGTTAAGAGCATGGGACTTGGCCTCAGATGATCTAGGTTCCAGTCCCCGCTCAGCCATGGAGCCAACTGGGTGACTTTGGGCCAGTCACAGACTCTCAGCCCAACCTACCTCACAGGGTTGTTGTTGTGGGAATAAGATGGAGGAGGAGATGTAAGCTGCCTTGAGCCCTTTGTAGGAAAAAGGCAGGACATAAATCGAAAAATATAAATAAATAAACAAAGCTGGAGAAATTCAGAAAGGAAGCCACACCTCTGAGCTTACAAGAGCTGAGCAGGGCTATCAAGCAGGGCACTTGTTCATAGGGTCATTTTACGCTGGGGATGACTTGAAAGCACATAGCAACAAGAAACGGTGCAGAACAGATGCATATGCAAATTCATGTGTACAGGTGCAACTTTAGAAATAACCGCTATATAAATAGAAACACCTGTCAGTTCACCACAGCAGAGAGACCTGGCTAGGTAGCCTGTGTGTCCACTCAGTCTCCTGTCCAGGGGCTAATGGTGGCTCTACAGTTCCAAAGCCCATCTTGTTTTCATGGTCCTTGATCTTAAACTGCACTTGGACTAGACAGACCGTCCAGCAGAGGATGCCTTCAAAGAGAGGGCTGTCCTCTGCCCGCTCTCTGAAATAGCATGCTCTGTAAAATAGGACACCTGGCCACCCTAGTCCTCTGAGTGGTCTCCCTGGGAACAGCCATGCCGGCATTGAGAGAGACAATGAATAGGCTCTTCTGTCTTTGTATATGTGATACTGTGCTCTGACATCCAAGGAACGTGATCAGCCAATCCCGCTAAGATAACTTCCTGCTGGTGAAGGACACCCTATAATCGACACTCCCCCATGTAAATGCCCCTTTGAACATTTTGAAAAAAAAGAAGACTCTCAGGGAAAGGGGGTGGGGAGATCCTGTGCATAAGGAATTTCTCTTGCAGAGGAGCAGTGAGAACTGTGGAACGACATTGCCTCAAGTTCCTTGATG